AAAATGTAAATGGTACATAAAAGCAGCATAGAAGAAACACTAACAATTTTGTGGTGGCTGATCTGACAGTCTTATATGTATGCTTGTGAAAATGTGATAGAATTTCATTGAATCTAGTTCTTCCTTGCACACTGTATATTGTGACTTCTAACCTTATGGCTTGCAATTAGAATGTTATGGGGATGTTCTTCACTATTAAAATTACAAGTGGTATACATTGTATGAATCTGTATAATATATGTATACAATATCTCCTGCATTAATTATCAAAAGTTCCTAGAACCACGTAAAATAATATACAAAATATGTATATTAGATATATATGCATATTAGAATATAATATGTATTACACTTTATTTTAGATATGTAAATCTAATGGAATGCTGGTTTTAAATGACAATTTGATTCCTAGTCTGTCAGTGCAGCATAAAAATGAAGTCTCAAAAGGTAAGTATTAAAATTTAAAAAATTATCATGAAGAAATACACAAAATTTATTTCGGGTTTTGAGCTTAGACTTTACTATTAATTTTTAATTTCAATTCAATATTTGAGATATATCTGTCAGCTTAAATGAATTTTTATTCAAGAATTCATTCAAGCATACCATGCTTACAGCAAATATGGTATTTATATTTCAGAAGCTCAAGGGATAAGCCACATAATGATTGCATGTCAATCCAATCTCTTTATAACACTAGACACTGAACTTTAAAATTCTGTATAAATTACTATAACATTGGTATAGAATGATAATAATAATTCAAATGATAGTTACTGTATATAAACATCCAGAACCATACTTTGTTATTTTTAGTAATAAGGATACAGATTTGCTAAATTCCTCTGTAAAATTATTTGCAAAAAAAATCTAGTCACTAATTTTCATTAGAAGATACCTGATTTGTATATCAGTGTTTCTATTACTTTTCATTAATAAATTTTTGTGTTGGCAGAAAGAATAACATATAGCAGAGATTTCCTTCTGAAACTTTCAGAGGTTTCACTTGCCCAAAAGAAGCCAGAATTTCTTCCTGATCATCCTATTGTACTGGAAAAATCAGTAAGTATATGAATTTAAAAGCGAGGTTGTAGAAATAATTTTACTGACATTTAAATTAGTAGTACAGTTTTATTATATAGTGAAGTTGCAGCATAGATATCCGTTCTTAGTCACAGTGATGACAGAATGATGATACAGGTAATTTCTTACCAGATTAATTATCTCTAGTAGTTTAGGGAAGAACCACATTTCTATCACAAATGGTAATTGCTGCTACTTATTATATTATTTTATGAATAAATGGGAAGAAATCTGTATCTATTATGCAAATATTCTCCATAACCCAGAATGATACATACATAATCTAAGCAAAGTGCATTTTGTATATTTCATGTTATTAAAAACTATTATCCTTTAGATATAAAAATAAAGTGGAAATGAATGAAATGAGACCATGGATGTCTGAAGGCTTTAGAATTAATACATAAATAACGAATAGGTGTTCATGATTTTCCTACCTATTATAAATGTAAAGTGATGTTGAACAAAAGTATATACCAAAATGAAACTAGAGACACTTGGTCCTTCCAAACTTTTTCCCACTGAAATATTGGGGATGGGTTTTATAGTGAAAGTCGAACTGTATATAGTACCTGTACATGTGTATGGATGGGGAGACTGACAAGGAAGAGTTTCAGTAGCAGTTGCTCAAGGTTTTTAAAAACCATGCTTCTTTAACACTGGGGAATGGATGCTATGTTTCCAATTTGCAAAATAATGCAGCTGTAATTTTTTCCTGTCATATTTATACATGGATTTCTGTAAGCTAAAGAACATTTTTTCATATATTTTTGTTATATGAACTGTTTAGATTAAGTTATTGCTTATAATTCCACAATTCTGCAGTCATTCACACAGTGGTTATAAATACAAAAACTACATGTGATTATAAATACCTGTCTGAACTTTACTAATACAGGTAATCTTGATTTATGACAGCAATAGAGCCTGAAATTCCTTTTGCTAAGAGATGCAGTTCTAAGAGAGAGAGTGCAGGGGTGCAGCAAGAGTCAGGAGGATGCTTGGGGGGGGTCACAAGGGTACAGGTGTGGGATGTTGCGCAAGTGGCCAGCATAGCATTGAGGGCATGGGGCTGGAGGAGAGTGCGTGGGGGAGAGAGACTTATCACAGTGACTTGTGACCTTCCCCATTGACTTTTTGGGGATGCTAGCAAGGGAATGTAGCAAATGGTGATCACATGATTGGCAGGTGCTGGAACCAGTTATAAATGTGAACCAAATGTCCAGCTCACGATCACATGACAGTAAGGGTGCTGGGGTGGCCAAAACTCTGAGGACTGGACATAGCCATTTATTTAGCACCATTGTAACTTAAAATGGTCACTAAAATGGTCATAAATTGCAGATTACCTCTATATCTTTCCAGTAATGATGAGCTTCTGGGCTAATAGGTATCATCTAATTACAGTATCTGGTATCCTGACATTTCATCAGCAGTTGTGGCTGGCATTTTCTGAGGTAACAGCGATCTGCTTTGTAGCACATTTCTCAGATCTCCTAATTAGACCATAACCTATTACTCTGGAAGGTCATCACTATTAGATTGACACTGGCTGTGAGAGCCTGCATCAGTATATTAGCATATTTTTATTGATGAGAATTGAGAAGAGAATGTCTGAAATAACATTAACTGCATTGGGTATAAAAAGCACTTTGTGGAGGGGAGATTAAAGCTGAGAGTTGCCGGTATGGAATAGTATTCTTCTGGATGTCCTGGCACAACATTATTTTACTCATAAATATTGCTATTATACTTTAATTCATTGTTTATATATTTTTCATAGCTCTTCTAATTATGTTAGAGGATTGAGTTTCTTAAATAGTTTGCAGTTTTGTCTTGAGTTGTGTCTCAATCTAATAAATGCTAACATGTTTCAAAACTTATTTAAATATGTAATGTTTTTTATTAACCAAATGTGTGGGCCTTTTGTTTTGTAGAAAAATTATTGTTTATTACCCGCTACAAGCAATGATAGATCTTTCTGAAGATAAAGAATGCGTCTCTTTTCACCATTTAAAAAAATTAAGGAAAAGTGATCTGTAATATCAATAGACTGAATTCAGATGTATCTTTTACAGTTGGTGTAATCATCAGTAAAGCTATATTCAAGCAAAAATGTATGTGAATCAACTTAAACTGTTGTCTGATTCTGAACTAGTATTATATTAAGATTTTTGTAGTGATAGATAAAGGAAACAATTGCTGAAGTGAAGCAGAATCATTATCACTTGTCAAGTTTTGGGAATGCTACATATGAAAATAAGTTGCAGATCCTAACAAGTCTCATTCCTCACCTTTTATTCTAGCAAAATTCCAAATATTGGGAATATGCCATATATCTCAGTACTATAAACTGCTCATATCTTGTGGCTGTTTGCATTTTGACTAAATGCCAACTCATATCATAAACTAAACTGAGTTGGGCAACATGGACACACACATAACTTCTGTTTCCATGCACCAACCTTCTTGCTAGATTGTAGAACCTTTTAACATCAATATGTCCAAAAAAATGGTATGAGCACTGGAATCTTTGATGATTTTCATGCCAAACACTTAAGTAGTAAATAGCAAAACATGACCATCAAAGATGTAGATTGCCCCATATCCTTGGTCCCAATTTAATTAGCTGTATACAAGCAATGTTTGTATTGGGCTATTACAAATGCCATGATGACACAGTGGTTAGAATGCAGTACTGCAGGCTAACTCACTGCTCATTCCAGTTTAATCCTGAGCGGCTCAAGGTTGACTCAACCTTCAATTCTTCTGAAGTCAGTAAACTGAGGACCCAGATTGTTGCAGTGCAATTGTGCTTACTCTGTAAACCATTTAGAGAGGGTTGTAAAGCACTATGAAGCAGTGTATAAGTCTAAGTACTATTGCTACTTGTTTTTTGTTAAATGCTTAAAACTTTCAATTCAATTATTAGGATTTAGGTGCTATGTCATTTTTGAAAGTTTTTTTTAAAATATTGTTCATATAAGGTATTGGTTATGTGTTAATAATTTGGTCTCTATATCTGTCATTTCCCCCCCTCTTTCCCACATTTTGCTGTACATTCTTTTCCACATTTTTCCCTAGCGTTTTCCCACAACTGCAGAATCAACTTTTTTTCAGATCAACTAAGTATTGATCCTTTTGTTTGTGATAGGAATTGATCAATTGATTGTCATGGGCTGAGAGAGAATAACTGGGTCAAAGTCACCCAGACAGCTTTTATATTGAGACGGGATTAGAACTCAGTTTTCTCGTTTCTAGCTGATGCTTAAGCTTTAGAACTACTAGATCAAATTGGATTTCACTTTCTTTTCCACATGATAGCATCTAAATAGTTAACAAGATTTTGGATTCAAAGATACATCTAGTTCTCTAGTACAATGGTCGTCCTAATCTAATACCACTAATCAATTACTGTGGTATTTTGTTCCTTTCAAATTTTTCCAAATTCTGCAAATATGTTACAATTGTAAAGTTTTTCTGATGAACATTGAACTTGTGTTACCTGTGTTATGAATGTAAATGTGGAATGGTATTTGCTTTTGTGAATATTTTTTTTAGTTGCTTGTATAGGACAACTAAAGATACTTGCTTTCACTTAGAGCAGCATTTGAAAGTTTACATACATCTATATTTATCAGACTTTCAAAATAAAGTGTGAAAATTGAGTAAACACAATAAGCCTAAAAAAAACCCACAATAAGACAGAAATTAAAGGCATGTGATAAGAAAAAGAAACTGCCAATTCTAGTTGACATCAATATCAATGTTTCCATGCTTGTTTTTGCAAACTATTCTTCTTTTATGCAATGTCCATACAGTGTCTTTCTGTCTCCTTTTGAGATTCTGACTTTAGATCCATTTTATCAAACATAGCTATCTTAGTTTTTAATAGATTACTTTTCAGATCCATGATCTCTGTTTATAGTTTAATGTTCATTGCAAATTATTCAGGTTTTCAACCCAAACCATAGCATCATTTCCACACAAAGATATGTATTCATATTCTGTCTGATGTTAACATAGCTATTCCTTACAGATTTATTTATAAACATCATATAATGAAACTTTTTCTATTTCTATTAATATAAAACAGTAAAACACGTTAGTTTCTTCACAAATCTTTTTCTGACTAACATCACTATATACTAGTAGACAGAACAATTTCAAACGATGGTAGAAATGAATTTTCAGGGAACTTTACAAAGCACAAATGCGCATAATAAACACAAGTAACACAATACCTTATTTAAAAAATAACCATCAAATTAAAATGAATTTGTATCATTTCATACAATATTAATCACAATAAATTTTACAACGTGGATTTGTTTTAAAAGGAAGAATTGTCCCTGAAGGAATAGTCATGATTTGCTAACTTCAGAGACTTCTCTAGATGCTGTTTAATGTAGAGTTTACTTTTAAGAAGTATGTACTTCTAGTTGTTCAGGATGCACCAAGAAGCTGAAAAGGAAATATTCATGATTTAAATACTCTCATGTCAGTAATTCCCATCAACATTTTAAAGGACTGCTTAGTTGTAAAATAATTTTGCAACATGTAAATAGATATTTCACTTTATTTAGTTGTTATACGAGAATAGATTAAAATATACTGACATACATAAATTGTGGAGTAGCTTTGTAGAGTGATATGGGCAGCATATAAATTTAATAGATTAATATCAACCTTGCAAAATTCCTACAAGATTAAATTATTTTAAATGGTGTAATATTCATATCCCAATTTGACTAATCCAATTAAAAATTGTTGAGATTTGGCAGTCTTTTTTATCTGACTGATTATAGTAACAGCATGGCTTGGACTAAATTACTTGTCATCTGCATATAAGTATGTATATATACTTGACATTTAAACAATTTTTAATTTGGGAATTAAATTAATCCCATTAGAAAGGTACCATATATGAAAGAACCCTTATAGATTAACTTTGCCATTTCTGGTGAAAGAGATACTTATGAAGGAGGATATTACTAGATCTTAAATTTTGTGTGGATACAGAAGAATTTCTTCAACCTTTTGTTTTTTTCTGGATCAGCACTATCTGTCTCATGAAAATGATCAATCCCTCCTTATATTAGATCTGGAGGCACCCATGTAGCAAACAAAACTTAAATGAATCAGCACATATGAATTACAATTTCGTATAACTCTCTTTCCTATCAATAAATGCTTTTGGATTATTTTTACTAAATGGAGATGGTTGGACTCAGTGGCCCATTCTAACTTTGAGATTTATAGAATTGGAGCAATAATTCAATAATACAGAACAAATATCAGAAGTCAAATAGAGACTGGCATCAACTAAGTGTATGCAATCCATGAAATCTTAATATTTTTGTTCTAAAATGCATACATGTAATCCTTTTAGGACCACTATTGGGACTAGAATTTCCACCGTTAAGCTGTGCAGACATAAAGTGAGATGTCATGTGACTGCATCACTTAGTAACTGCAATCTGGTATTCCCCATTTCCATTGTAGCCCCAAGACACATGGGTTATTAAGAAGAAAGGCAGGAATCCCAGGTGCAAAGCATGAGTACTGTTGGGAGATGGAGGCCTGGAAAGGTTGGCCATGCATGAGTTGGAGGGTGAACAGTACCTCCCACAGGTTCCATTTTTGCTGGGGAACTGATTCTGGCTCTCTTACCTTGCTTATCACATGACTGCAGGAAAGCTGCAATAACTGCAACTTCAGGGACTAGTTAGTATTTTTTTTTCATTACTGTCAACTTTGAATCACTGCTGAATGAATGGTTAGTTCACCTCCTCTCGACCCATAAGATCTCACAGATTAGGCCTCCTCCGAGTGCCATCTGCCAGCCAGT